GTGGGCACACTCATAGTCTCCGAGGCCTGAAAGATTTTATGAGAGGGCTCCTTGGAGAACTTAGCTCAACACTGAAACAAAATGATCGCTCCACATCAATTTTACTTTCTTCCCGCTAAACCTCTCCCACCTTGAGAAATGGGAACTAATACCTGTCTAATTAATACCTGCCGAGTGGGGTTATTGAGAGAATTTTAAAAGGGTGACATGAATGCACTTGGAAAGAATGTCAATGGTATGCAGGTTTCTTTTTTATTTTTTCCATTGCCCTGTTTTATTGGATCTTTATCTTTTGTAGGTACAAGTGTTAATCTGTGCCTCTGGGTAGTGAATCCAAGTTTTCAGTAGGCACTTTAGTAAATAGGGGGTGGAAATGTTCTCTGTGATATGTTTGGTGTTTACATCATGAAGCAAAGCTGATGCGTGTGACCGAAGATGAGGGACAAAGGCAGCAGCACGGAAGCAGGAAGGTGTGTGAGGATGAGTGGGGGCACAGCTGGTGTTGGCCTTGGTCGGGGACCACCAGTCCAGGAACAAGGTGTTTGTTCTTTATCACCCCAAAACCTCTGGTTGATGAAGACAGTCTCGACTATAAAGAGATCAGATGGGTCAAGAGGGAATGGTTGTGGGATTACCTGGTTATGATCCAGTGATTGAGGGATGGGAGCCGGAGAGGCAGTACAGTGGGTAGGGCATTTGTCTTGCATGCAGTTGACCTGTGTTCGATTTTCAGCATCCCATGCATTCCCTGAACACCACCAGGAGTGATCCTTGAGTACGGAGCCAGAAGTTAGCCCTGAGCACGCGCCCCCCCCCCAAAAAAAAAACCAAAATGATTGTGGGATCTCAGTGTCCTCTGAATAAATCAAGTACTGCTTATGGCACAATATAACCTCTGACAGTGAACCTGGATGGTGCTGGATGGTGCAACTGACATTGGTCCCCAGTGGCCACAAGGGACCTGAAGAAATAGCCACCTTGAAGTTGACAGGGCCATGGGAAAGGATCAGTGTCTTAAGAGAGAGAGAGAGAGAGAGAGAGAGAGAGAGAGAGCGCATCTGGGTCCACCCACGGCCTGTCTGATGGGCTTCGGGGATATAGAGCAACTCCAACCTAGGGAAGCTTGTCATGAAGTTCTTCCCTTCTCCCCGCTCCCCCCGCAGCAACACAGGGAAGAAAAGTCCCAAAGGCCAAGGACGTTTGCTAAGAGGGGTTTCTTGGTGCAGAGGCTGGGGAATGGGATCGAAATTTCTTGAGTTGGATTTCAGCTACCACCCCCTTTTCCTGCAGTGTAAACGGAACGACATCCTTCCCGTTCCCATCTATTTGATATGCATGAACTTCTCCCGCTGCTGATTTAATTTCCCCAGATTGTCGATTCCTTTCCTCGCAGAGCTGAAGGGACTCTTTTGGAACTTTCTGCAGTTGCTAGCAGAGGGCCTCTCTGGGAAAGGAAGCTGGAATGGAGAAATGTAAATTTCCGCTCCCCCTTCCAAATCCTGTCAGGATGCCCAGTATATAGAGGACTCTGTCACCTGCTGGAACTGTGCATGGTTACCCAGCCCCAGCCATTTGCCAAAGCCCCCTCTTCTGCTCCTGCCCCATCCCCTTCCCCAAGAAATTTCATTACTTTAGACACAGGACATAACCCATGGTCGTTGAGGGCTTAGGGAAATGCCTGGCCCGACATTGAATGGTGTGATGCATTTTACTAATGCCAGTTTATCTCCAGCAAACACATGCTTGATGCTTGCAGCATCTTTTCCAGGGCACCCGGATTAAAGTGGTCAGAGAACATTGGTTTGTTGAACAACAAAATAAAAAATAAACTTGGTGACCTCCAATAATCCAAGTGCTGAGGCTGCAGCCCCTGATAAGAAAGTCTGGTGCTGAAAACACGTTGCTAGCTTTTTAGGTCTCACGTTGGTGGGATCATTAGCTGGCCTAAATGAATGAGGTCATCTAATTCATTTCATGGGGCAATAGGTGAGGACATAATGCTTTTAAGAGTGCCTCTTACCTACCAGAAGCTTTTACAAATGGCGGTGAGGTCCTGCCCACAGGTGACTGAAATGGTTGCAGGAGTGAAGGTTTGGGGATCTCACGCCTGCCTCATGCAAAGGATGATGAGGTAACCAGCCTCATTTTCACTTTCATTGTCGGCACCAACTAAAGATCCCCTACTTGACTCTGAGTCCCATCACTCTGAGGGGCTTGTTTTACTTAAGGACCTGTTAGGTCTTGGTGAAAAATGGTGAGTGACCCCAGACTCCAGAAACTGCGGCTTGGGGTGTTGGAGTGTGAACAATTGGAAGAGTTTTACCTTCCCCACTTGGCGTGATGGGGCAAGGCGGTCAGAATTCCTTCCTTTGACTCAGCAGAGCATCTCTTCCGGTTCTGAAAACTCAGCTTGGAGTTTGCCAGCAATCAGCTTTTTATTAAGGAAGAAAAGAATCCTTGGCATGATGGTCTCACTCTGTTTGAGACACTTAATCTTTTCCGGGGATTTTGGGCCAAAGAGGGGAGCAAGGGAAAGAGGACAGTGGGTCATGCCAAAGATCAAAGACATCAAGGGGAAACCCTCGAGTTGTGACTGTGATTGGTGACACACTGAGAGGGCTTGGCAAGGGCAGGGGCCCAACTAGATATTTCAGGAAAGCATCACAGAAAGGAAAATTCATAACATACCCAAGTTGTTAAAGAGCCAGAGAAAGAGGAAGCCAAGCGTGGCCTGTGGACTGTTGCTGCCCGCTGAGATAACTTGTGAAAACAGAATGATTTCCACCCCACCCTCCAAACAAAAAGACTTGGACAGGATTGGTGAAGGGTTTGGACAAGAGGAGAATGGACAGTCCTCCTCCTCCCTACTCTGATGAGAACCCGAGATGCCGCCCCTCTGGCTACTTATTAAGTTCCTTAACAGTCATGATCCCAGAGACACACAAATGAATCTCAGAACCCAGCGGCTTTTGGCAGAAATCTCTCCAGACTTAATTATTAATATTTCAGAATTCAAAGATAGCCGCTGTGTGACATCATATGTTATTCATAACCAGCAGTAGAAAACAAATAGTCTAATGTTGCCTTTTTGGCAGGTCTGAGTGTTGGGGGGAAATGAAATTCCAAATAATAATGGTGGGACTAGTGTCGAAATATTGAATGTAATCAAAGTAGAGAGAGAGAGAGTAATGTGGAAATCATCTGCCACACACGTAGGGGGAGGGCTGGGATGGGGGTATACTGGGGGTGTTGGTGGTGGTGTGGAGGCAGGAGATTCATTATATATTCATTATCTATTATACAGACATATATATATATATATATATGAGGAGAATGGAATTAAAGATGGTGTGCGAGAATGGCATTCCTGTGGAACACATGGGTTTTTGGTTGCCTGAGAGAAAACTGAGAGTGGCGGAAGAGAAGGCCTTGGAGCAGTCAGCCCGGAGAATCCCACTGGGAGGGTGCAGGAGGAAGGAGGTGACCCACAGAAGGGCTTGAGCAGTTGACTGAGGTCTGCCACCACCCTGGAGGAGAATCATCCAAAGGTGTAGAGACCAGGGCTCTCTCCACGCCATTCCCTCTGGGGCACCAAGAAGCAGGTTCTACACCAGGAAGAACATTCTTTCAGCTGTTTGTGGAACGAGGGAATGAAGGAAATTGGAGGGTAAGGGACCACCAGTCCTTGGCATACTGAAAAGCAGTGTCTGAGTCCATTCCAGATAAACATGGTCCAGAATCTTTCCTAGAGGGAAACCAGAGGGAAGCTTCCCTAGAGAAACAGCCAGCGGCTTCTGCAAGGATGGAGCCTTTAACCCTCACTGGGGGCCTTGACCTTTAGCCCGAGGACCCTGCTTAGGGATAATGAGGCCAGCATCACACGCCTGAAGTGATGTGGGGAGAGGGTGGGAGTGAAGAACTGGAGCTTCGTCACGGAGGGGAGCCTGGAGTGTGTGTCCGAGTCCTTTCCCGGGAGAGTGGCATGCAGGTACCCCCTCCTCTTGATGGTGTTTTGAGATTCAGATGTAAACCCAATACACAGGGGAACAAGAACCATTAGTGGGCAGGATGGGGTTCTTACTGGTGGTCTTTGTTGCTACTCAACTGTCCTCTGCCACAGGGAGGAGTCTCCAATTGAAGGAGCCATGCTGAGTTGCATCCTGACAGGAGGTCGGGGTGGGGAGAGCAATCAGAGTGCCAAACAAGAGTCCAAGGCAGACAGTTTTACATTTCTGAGGCTAGATCCAGGTTGGTCTTTGTGATCATTTATTCTTCCTCTTTGCCAGCGGCCAGTGGTGCTCAGTGGACGGAGCCTACAAGTGCCATTAGACTCTGGACTCCTAGAACACTGACACATTTGTGGTTTAACACTCTGCTTGGGAACCCAAGTTCTGCTTCTGGAACTTTCCCTGAGACGCCACGCCCGGGTGCTTCTAACTCCTGGGTCCACGTAGCAGCAAAATCAAGTTAGCAACCAACCTCCTCGCTGTGTCCACAGTGGGCTCAGCAGGTCTTAAGAAATAGCCAAGTTGGTGAGATTTGCTCCTACAGGTTTCGGAACCCCCAAATGGGAAATTGAGCTGAGAAGTCGTGGCAATTGGCCCCTTGGCTGGAGGGTTTGGGGTGCACAGTCACGTGGGGAGTGTGTTTGTGGGTGAATGAAGATGTAAGCAATGCTGGCAGCTGCTGACTCTGGAGAGAGCAGCCTCAGAGCACACCTGGGGAGTCCCCGGATGCCTCCCCCTCCCCACTCTCCCCCAGCTCCTGTCCCGGGATAAGCGGCCCGTTGGTTAGGCTCAGCTCTCTGTCCTGGGCGCCAAGGCGCTCCCTTGGACGGGATCATTTGTCAAGCCAGCCTGGTACACGGAGGGGCTGTGGGCAGATGATGGCAAGAGAGAGAGGGAGGAGAAAGAGGGAGGAGGAGAGAGGGCGCCGCGAGAGAGAAGAGAGCGAGCGAGGGGCGCGGAGCGAGGGGCGCTTTCCCGGCGCGCGGCGGCAGGTTCGAGTCGGCGGAGCCGCCGCGGTGACGGTGGCCGGGGGCTCCCTACACTCGGCCCTCCCCGGCGTGGGATGCTCGGGGCTGGCGCGCGCCCCGGGAGGAACTTGGAGGGGAGAGGCCCTGGCATGAGGATTCCCGCACCATGGAAGGGCTCCTGTCTCCGATGAGGACCAAGGTAAGTCGGGCGCGCACGGCCCGGGGTTCCTGGAGGCCGAGGGGGTCCCCGGCGCGGAGAGCGCGCGGCGCGGGCGAAGCTTTTGTCTCCTTGGCTAAGTAGGCTGGGGCCCGCCGCGGGAGCCCGGGAAGAATAGGCTGGCCGGGAGGCAGCGGCTGGGGGAGCCATCTGTCCGCGTGGACAATGGGGACCGGGGGGCGCCTCGACAGCCATATTCCAGCAGCATTTCCAGGGACGCCCCGGCGGGGTCCGTGCCGCGCGCGCGCGGGGAGCCGAGAGCCGGCGCGGGGGGTCTGGGCTGCGCCCTCCTCCTGGCCGGGCAGCGCGTTCCAAGCGCAGCCAAGAGCCCCGGCCGGGCGGGGGGACCCGGGAGTCCTCGGTGGAAATTAGGTTAATGCATTCTGCGAGCCTGCGCGTGCAAGCGGGGAGTCCCCGGGGGCACCGGACCCGCAGGGCGGCTGGAACTTGGTGGCCGTGGCGCCCGGAGACACTGGGTGGGGATGCCCTCAGCCTTCCCACCGATCCCCACCCTGGCCCTGCTGCCGCTGGAGTTTCCCTTTTCATTTCCAAAAGGGCGCTCGGATATTGGGGCGCTGCGTGCAAAGCTCAGAGGAGGAGGGGGTCCTCCAAAAGCTGCCCCATGCTTGCCTCCCTCTAGCTCCGCTGCCCCAAAGTTCTAGATCATGCTAGAAACCTCACTTTTCTAATCCGGCAATGCCACCCGCCTCCCTCCCCAGCCCCTAGTCTGGGAGACAGGGAAAGGGAAGGCTTTGATTCACCTCAGCTCTTTGATGCCATTAAGTGGTTTCTACAGAAGAGACGCTTTTGTCATTGAGCTGTTACCCCCCACCCCCACCCCACACACCCACACGCCCACTAAGAACAAGCATGTCCACAGGGTGTGGGGGGCCAGCTCCTGAAGGCTGAAAGCTTGGGAAATTGCTGCCTGGGACCCTCTAGCCTGGGTTTGTGCTTTGGGGGTCTCCTGGCAGCTCAGGGGTGGAATGATCTCACCTGCCTTCAGTTCAGCTCACCCTGGGAGGGAGTCGTGGGGGGGGGGGTTCCCCTGTGCAAATGCGCCTGCTGGCTGCTCTCAGTCACACACGATGTGGGCTGTGGGTGGGGCAGAGCACGCCTGTCACTGCGTGAGGCTCCTCAGATCCTGGGGCTTCATTCCCTTGGGACTTGCCCATAACCCTGGGGTTACCTGATGGCACCCAGGCTAGGAGGAAGTAACAGCCGCCAAAGGGAAAGGGATTCTCCGGGCAACCTCTTGTATTTTTAGGTTTTGAGGTGTTGTGTGTGTGTGTGTGTGTGTGTGTGTGTGTGTGTGTGTGTAAGAGTGAGAGAGAGTTAGAGACAGACTGCTGCTGCAGATTCCTTTTGAATCTAGGCTGACTCTGGAAATGGACATTTTCAAATCAAAGATTCAAATTACATTTGAAGTTGGTGATTCAGTAGCAGCCAGGGGCCGAGACTCCCCCTGTCGGAGCCCGACGAGGCCTCACTGAGGAGGCTGCATCCCTGTCCCTAAATCCCTGGGTCCTGCATGCTTGAGAGCACCCGGCGATTTTTTAAAAACTGAATCAGAGACACGTCTCCGTGACACCCGCCTCGAGGTCCCCCTGGGCTCTGAGCCACACCTCCCTTCTGCTCTGCAATGGGCTCTCTGGAGCACGGATCTCCCTGGAAGTGTCACGGTCCCCGTGAAGGGTGGGACAAAGAAAGCCTCCCCTCCCTCAGGGGCCACTGTGCCGGGCTGTTGTGGTTACTAAATCACTTCCTGACAGTTTAGAGCAAGTGTTGAGGTAAATTGGACATCCTGCAGTAATTTCATTACGCCACCTAATAGACTTAACTGGTCTAAATCATGGGTGCTTAATGCATTTTTATCTTGGGATTTGCATAATTGGCACATAAATATGCATGAGATTAACTGGAAGTGGCAATGCAGGGACAGGAGCCACATTTGGGGCGTGAAAATAAAGCCTGGGAGGTGGTACCTGGGCTTGTCCCTGTCTCCTGGGCATTGTGGGGGGCATGCTGGATTACCTCAAAGTCTTCGGGGTGGCGACTGGACTCGTTCAGTGTGTGTGGAGGCACTGGGGGTGCACTCTTCATTCCTGGACACCAAATGCCACCCGGGCTAAGGGATGCTGGACAGCTGACCAGCTAGCTCCCGTCAGAGATGGGGGCAAAAGGGAATCCGAGGATGGCATTCCCTCCTAGGAGGCCGAAGGGAAGGATTCCAGAATGATTCTTGTCTCTGGGCACCTTTTCACTGTGTCCTCCTTAATTCAATGGCTCAGTCCCATCCCCCCATTCCTGCCTCTGCTCCAGAAGGAGGCTGGCCAGAAAGTGGCCCTGTTCTGTTCTGCTTGCTCCAACCTGCAGCCGAGTGTACCTCAGCACCCGACCCAACTGGGAAAGGACACCAAGTCCGCCCTTTCCCCAGGCTGGGAGGAAGGTGTCCAGCAAAACTGCAGCTTAGAAGGAAGAGTGGGGAAGTGGGCAGGAGTGAGAGCAAGGAAAGGAAGGGGAAGGGGAAGGGAGGAAAGGGAAAGGCAAGGAAAGAAGGGAGGGGAGGGGAGGAAGAGAATAGGAGGGGAGGGGAGGGAAGAGTGGGGAGCAGGCTGGAAGAGCAGCCATTCCTTTCCCTTTCATTGAGCCCTAGGGGACACAGAGCAATGCCACCTCAGACACACACCCATGTGCAGGCATTGCAACGTGATGGGCACATTGGCTAAACGTCCAGTAGCTCTCTGAGTCATGCAGAACTTGTGGCTCGAGCATGGGACGAGAACACCAACGGCCCCCTCTCTGCACAAGTCAGAGCTGTCATCCAGCAGGACAGACCCTGCTGGCTGAGACAACCCCCCACCCCCACCTCCTGGAACTTGCTCAGCCTCCAGCTTCATCGTTTATCTTTAGACAGCCCCTGTCCCCGAGTGCCCCTGCCATGGGCACCTCTCCTCCTCTCTGGGCAGGTGCGGGTGAGAGCGCAGCTTCAGGCTGTCTTGATGCGCTGCCCTTAGCAGGGTGCCCGCTGCCCATTCAGGGGCCAGTGATTTGCTGCTGTGTAGACACCGTGTCTTTCCCCAGTGCCTTGGCTGTTCTTTGCAGGTTGATTGTTGTAGGTTTTGCGACAATGGGTGAAGGTAGTAATGCAGCTCTCTCTCTCTCTCTCTCTCTCTCTCTCTCTCTCTCTCTCTTTCTCTCTCTCTCTCTCTGAAGCAGTGGTTTCGTTCCCTTCACATAGATATCCAGAAGTGAAATTGTTGGCTCATATGGAAATTCTATTTTTACTTTTTTTTTTAAGGAAGTGGAGGTCTGTTTTTTTTTTATTCAGATAACATTAAATAAAATACTTGCAATGAAATTAACCTCGCTGGGAAGCATGAGGTCTTCACCTTTAAAAAGTTTAACTTGACAACTCTGTAACTATTTGGGGTGCTAATTTGGGGTTTGGAGGGTTGCCTTTACTAACTGTTCTCTGCTCAGAGAGTGGGCTTGCCAGAGAGGGCGTTTCTCTGCTCTCAGAACTGCTCTTGTTTCGGCCCCCAAAGACCGCGTGTCACTCATGCACATTGAATACCATTTTGCAGGAATGGCCTTCCATGGCTTTCTGAAGGAGTTCTCCAAGAGGATCCGCCCACTTCGTGCTAGGGATACTGTGGGGAGCGAAATAAGCAGGGCTTTGGAATTTACACAAAAATGGTATCTGAGCCCGGACTGCAATGAAGTTCCCAAATGGTCCTTCGAGAGCCTCTTGTAATTTGGGGGGGAAGAGGGTACACCCAGTGGCACTCAGGGGACCATATGGGATGCTGGGGATCAAACCTGGCCAGCCATGTGCAAGGCAAACGCCCTCCCCACTGTGCTGTCACTCTGCTCCCAGCATCTTGTAATTTTGGATACACTTTAGAGGCGGGTGGACGCTGTGTAGATTCTAAAATTACAGCCAACATGTAGGTAACAAAACAAAGAATCCAAAGGGTCTAGTCAGAAGACTGTCCAGACTACTTGACAGACTCAGTGACCTTTAGGGGGTGGAGGTCTGTCTTTTATTCAGATAACATTAAATAAAATAAAATTCTTGCAATGAAAAATTAACCTCATTGGGAAGCATGACATGCTCCACCTTTAAAAAGTTTAACTTGACAACTCTGTAACTATTTGGGGTGCTAATCTGGGGTTTAGAGGTTAGAAGTCACTTAAAAATCTGCTAAGTCCACATTGAATGTGGCCTAAAGGTATTGATTTGTCCCCCATCCCCCTGCCCCCTCAAGTCTGGGTTTCTGGGCAAATATTGAAATCGCCCCTTTACAAAGCTTCGTGAACTAGCAAACAGCCAGGAGTCAGGACTGGCGGTGTAGACAGAGCTGGCCAGGGCCAGACGCTGGAAGGCCGGGGAATTACTTTCCAATACATTCCCGGGCTAATGACAGTGATCCTTTATCTTAATGGAGGCTTAAATAAGAGGAAACTGGACCGAGATGGAGCATGACAGGTTCAGATTAAATTCCGCACCACGTTCCTTGACATCTCAATGTTTTTCCAAGAACAGCGACGCCCTTTGGAGTCCGGGCAGCCTCAGAGACCACGGTCTTTCCTGCCGCTCCCGAGGAGACGCCGGAGCTTTATGCTTTATGGCTGTGGGTTTTATGGGGCTATGAATTCTTACTCAAAGACCAATAAAATCAGAAATGGATTTGTTTCCCAGGCAGCAGCTTCAGCCGCGTGCTTGTTCGAACTGGGGGGACTCAGCTGAGTGAGGACCAAAGTTTTCTCGAGACTTCTTCTGTGAAGTGGGGGGAGTGTGTTGGGGACGGGGAAGACGGTGGATAAAAGGGTGTGGATGCGCTTTAGCTTTTGCTTCTCAGACTTTTTGGCTTCAAGGCCTAATTCTGCCTCTCCCTCGGGCATTGCTTTGCTCACCCTCGGTTTCCTTCAGTGTAAAATACAGCCACCAGCAGCCATGCGGGTACCACTGTGCAGCG